GGTTGAGACCATTCGTCAACAAGGCAATAAGTAGCATAAGCATTGCTCAGGTTGGCCAGGCTTCGTGTGCTACCTGTCATTAAAAGGCTGGCTGGAAGCGTGTCGGAAGAAGTACGGAAGCCTACCGCGCTTACAACGCCATGACTTTTGGCGTGAACATCACCGTTGCCTCTAGTCACGCGCAAGCTGGCGATCTGTCGAGGCAGACTCTAGCGGACACAACGACACAGGCAACTGACAACAGCTCCGACGCAGCACCTGAAGGGGAAAACTTCATACTGATGATGGAAGTTCAAGTATTTTTCTACATGATCTACTCTGTGATTTTCCTTCTTGGTTTGTTTGGAAACGTCCTAGTGATGTATGCGGTATACCGTAACACGGCGCTGCAGACAGTTACAAACTACTTCATCCTTAACCTGACCTTAGCCGACATCCTTCTCTGCGTGCTTTGCATTCCGTTTACTCCTCTCTACACGTTCTTGCAAAGCTGGGTATTCGGGAAGGCACTGTGCCATTTGGTGACTTGTGCGCAAGGAATAAGCATCTACATCTCATCACTAACACTCACCACCATTGCCGTTGACCGCTTCATCGCCATCGTCTACCCGTTCCGGCAGCGGATACAACCTTCTGCCTGCTTTATCCTTATCATGTGCACGTGGTTGCTGTCAATAGGAGCGACGATGCCGTACGCGTATTTTGTGGAATACATTCCCATCGACGATGGGAAGTACGTGTGTCAAGAACATTTCCCAGAGGACGTCAGGCTGACGTTTGGCAGCATCACGACCGTCCTGCAGTTCGTCATCCCGTTCATCATCATGACTGTGGCGTACACGCTGATATTGTTCAAGCTGTCTAGACGGATCAGGTCCAAGCCTGGCTCCAAGAGCGCGCGAAAGAGGCAGGCGGACCGCGAGAGGAAGAGGCGCACCAACCGCATGCTGATCGCAATGGTTGCCGTGTTCGGGCTCTCCTGGCTGCCGCTGAACCTCATGAACATATTCGACGACATCTCGACCAACGTAGGCCTTGGCTGGAATCGATGGCAGTACTTCCACCTCTTGTTCTTCATCGCGCACTCCATCGCCATGAGCTCCACCTGCTACAACCCCTTCCTGTACGCCTGGCTCAACGAGACATTCCGCAAGGAATTTGGGGAGATCCTGCCGTGCTTCCGTGCTCGCTGCGGCGGCTGCGCCGCCCCGGAGGAGTTTTCCATGCGACGCAACTCAACCACGCGCACCGCCATGGAGCACGAACCGAGTACCACTACCGTCAGGTTTGCGCGCGCCACGTTCGACGTCGCTTCCGACAACGTGAAACTGCAAGCGTCGACCGTAGCCCAGCCACGTGAAAGTCGGAAGCAGACCGGGGCAGCGGAGGCTGGGTGTCCCTTCACCTCGGCGAGCGCCGTGTGATCCGTGAATGCCCTCGGACAGTATGGATAAGTGGCGTTTGCGGCGCACGTTTAACACGCATTTGTGACGCCTCTGTCACTATGATATGTGGAGCTCATGTGACCGACAGAAACTGGACTGGCGACGCAGAGCAAGACTGCGAAACTGACGTAAGAGGCTTGCGTGTGGTGATGGAAGGAGGGTGGCGCTTGTCTGGAAGGTGCTGTGTCGTATCGTTCGCACTTGTCAATCGCCAATCGTCAGCTGTGGCTACGTGTAGATATTAGCCGTTTTCACGATAGGTCAATGCGCTGAGAAGTTCGCGAGCTTTAAGAAGTGTTCAGATAGTTTTAGTACGTACTAAAACTTTTACAAAGACCTTTTTGTTTTCATGCAAATTTATTGTTATTCGGTAGCTAAGTCTCGCGGATCGTATACAAAAGGCCTTTTACAGACGCTTCTTTCTTCGGTCTATGCCTTAAGTTCGCCGAATTCTAGGATATTTACAGGCCTGGCAACGGGGTGTACGGGTCGAGGGCGGACTGCCAGCCACACCTTGATTGTTTTACCAGGGAACTGCATGAGCAGCGGTGCGACCAGGACATAAAAGAGTCTTGTCGTGTTTCTGTCAGACATATTGCCAAACGCATTCAAAAAAGTTTCGGCAAGTTGCGGTACGAAGGGACATGGCATCACAGCTGCCACTACAAGCATGATCTCACGTATGATCAGCAAGCCACAGTTCCATCAACTGATACGTCTTCACAGACGTGGTGCGAAGCATTTCCAAAGCCTTTCTAGCCAAAATTGCACGTAAAAATTTATGAAGTCTTTCTAGACAAAATCGCACATGAAAGGTTTTGGTTAGGAAATAAACGCCGTTTAGCTTAAACAGCGTTTTGAAGTGATGCCACGTAATCCCTCGGGAAGCCGGTTATTGTGCACCATTTTGTGGCTCGTAATTGAGCCGTTTGGACTGTTACCGCCAGCCACCATTTTGTCATGCTTATTTAACCCTTATTCACGTCACGCTCAAACACGTTTATTTAGTGTACCCCGATTCCTGAGCGGGTTTAGCAGAACCTTTAACTTACAATGTCTTGCTGTTTCCTCTCAGACTATCGTCTCAGTAAATGAAACGGCGCCCATATGTTGTCAGAAGTCCTTGCCCCTCCCCCCCCCCCCCCTCCCAACGGCCCCGAACGAGAAATGGGGCAGTTTTCGTACGACGATGGTTCGTTATGATTTCGCCAATAAAGATCGCTGTATGACTCCGAGTAGGTGCCATAGTGCTCCTACAGTGCGTCTCAATGCGAAGGACGGGCATCACTTGAACTTCATCGGGTACTCGTGACGTTGAGGATGCTTCAGAATTGCAAGGAGAGGTTATCAAACACTAGAACTAAACGTTCGGTCTTCTCTGGTAAGTATTCAGATACGCGTGTTTGAATGTTTCATGTTTCACGTGAATTTGCAAATGTGTTGGAGCGCATGCGTTTATGCGCATCAGGCGAAAATATTGTATGGTATGTGGGACATCCAGGCGCAGCTTTCCAATCGCGTCACGGAGCGGGAATCTCTAAGTCGAGAATCTCTAAGACGTCTAGTAAAGAAGAGATGCCATTGTCGATGGTCGTCACAGTAAATCTACAATGTTTTATGTTTGAATTTGACAACGTAAAGAACTGCTGCCACCTGAGACAATTGCGGCGCTCCGTATCTGGTTCGGACGTCATTTTCCGCTTTTCAAACTTTTTCATTGAAAAGGGGAAAGTATTACATCTTTCTTAGAAATATTTCTGAGCCGTTCTCTTGGGCGTGGATCCCGCGGAGGCCGGTACATACGTAGTGAACTACCATTTCGGTGAAATTCTCTCTCTCTCTGTTACTCAAACACGGTGTCACTGTGCCATGAGCATTCCGTATTGTTCTATTGAACACAGGACATAAGTTGTAGGAGTTTATTAGATGCGAAACTGATTTGAGTATTGTAACAACGTATGCTGGGTTCCTGTTTGCTTTGGTTGGTTGGTTGGTTCCTGCCAATTTCACGAGTAGTGTGTAGGATCAGGAGGAGTCGGCACCTAGTCGGAATTCGATCTGGCAATCCCATGGTGACGTCACCATGGGATTGCCATGGGATTGCGTCACCATTGATTGGAGCCGTTCGCTCCAATAAAGTAAGTCTCAAGACGTATGCTAGTATGTCTCCTAGCCATACCCGTGGTTGAAACAACTGTGGCTGGTCAAATATTCCAACACCAGCTCGCATTACCATACCATGCTCCACATGCAATAAGGGCGATTTTTACGAACATTAGAGATGGTTATCACCCTTACTGTCAAGGAACGTTCCTAACTGCGGTCCAGACGCGGATTACTTTAAACCGGTGATGCGCATAAACGAACGGTGAGCTCAATGGAAGGGAAATACTTGAGTGTACAACCACTGAAAAGGCGGCAACGGTTGCATTCAATGTTAACACGCGCCTAGGTGGCTGGTTGGACACCCTCCGCTCGGGTGGCGGAGGGTCAGTTTGACCTCCCTGAGATCTCAAGAACTAAGAAAGCTAGAGACATCAAATTCACCGGGTGTATTGATCTGTACATTATCTCACTTAGGTTACAGCTTGAGGTTCTTAGGTTATGACCTTCGGGCCAAGTAAGGTCAAACAAGGTCAAATTCCAGGTTGTTTTTCAAAGGGCCGCTGGAACCTAGATATCTGTTCCAAGCAAAAGGTCACATGCTCATGCACGGTCAGTGACCTCGTTTGACCTTTTGAAAGTCATGGTGGTCAAAATCATACAAGACCGGTTTGCGTTTTGCATTTGGATAAGCGACATAGATTACGCTAGGCAGTATGTTCCTAAAAACAAGATATTGACCCGGGTCATTCTAGTTTAGTGACCTGTTCTGGCCCTTAAGAAGCCTATGGAAGATGTGGCATGCGGTTCCTGTCATCAGTAAATTCGAAATGAGCACCAGAAACTGTCCCATACAACAAGCCCTAAAGTAATAAAGCAGATCGATTTTGACATTGATCTGACATCCATATCCGACCTTAGGTCAATGTTATGTGTTCTTTCAATTGTTGTTTTGCCTAAGAAAGTATCCCAGAGATGCATGGCTTCGTCTAACGCTCCGTTGTTGTATCAGATTGAACGATTGCCTAGAAATTGCCCTCGATGAAACCATGGCCTGGTTTTGACCGGCCTAGGTCAGTGACGTTACAAGGTACATCTAAATTTTTGATTCCATACGACCCGCCATTTAATTGTGTACAACTATGCAAAATTTGGCGCGCCCACGTCCCGTCGTTCGAATACCAAATTCGGAATACCCTTCGGAAGGGGGGGGGGGCAATTTGACCCCCACCCGAGCGCGTATTAAGAGAGGCACTAGGAGTCTTGCTGAGCGGAAGGGCTGGAAAGGCAGATACAATCCGATTTTGCAATCTGAAATCTAATCTGAATCAACATAACAATCTGAAAGAAAAATTATCAGTGATTATGCCATTTTTTGGAATGTTCCTTCTGTGCACCGTCGTAGCCATACCTAACCCTTATTTGTTTGCGATTTTGGGCCGATGCATTTATGGTCCCAAATGCGTAGCATCGAGGTTACACTGTGATGCCCTACAAAGTTGTTGTTTTGATGTGCCAAGCATGGTTAGTCGCACATCTAAAGGAAGAAAACCTTAAGAGTCGAACATAAGACTTTTGTGTGATTTTTTCGACGTCTGGCTGAAACCGACTTCAGATTTGAGTGTGCAGAGCAGGGTGTCATCTTTCAAGGTGTAGAAATGAGAGGGAAATTTCAGTTTCAGTAGGCAAGCAATACCAAGTGGCTCCACAGCACCTAACAGGATTTAGGGACAGGGTAACTCACCCACGCATCATACAGCACTAAAAGATGCAGCTGGTCATTTCCCAACAGCACGAGGGGTTTTCTGTGTGAAGCAAAACCTGTGACAACCTTTGCCTGTGCCCCAAATGGCTTAGGCATATTTCTGTAATTGTACTAGTACTAGAAACATAAGCGCATCTTCATCATGTGTGTGAGGGGTCACACTTGACGTCAGCAACTATAAAGACATCCCCAACACTGATTGCCATTTTCGCAGGGGGGCAAGTTCCTTCTCAGTCAGGGGCTCCAGTGCCCCAAAATATTTGGCCTGAAACCTGACTTTGAGAACAAAGTGAGCCAAATCTGGGAAGAAACAAACCCGTTTGTTGGTGCCTTTTGAGTGGTGAGTTACATCATTTCCCACTGCTCAGTTCGCTGAGGCTGAGTGGAGTGAGTTGAGTTGCGTATGAACTGAGGGCCCCAACTCATTTGGCATACGTGACTACTGACCACTGGTGCAGCGCTCATAACATGTTCACATTATTATCATTGTTATAAGAAGTGGTAAATATTATGACTGATGGCATGCCAATGATTGTATTTTAAACATCAAAACATGGTAGATAACAACACGAAGACAACCTGTACATGGCTTGGTGCTGAAAGTCCATGCCATGTTCCACCTTACAAGGTCTAAAATTTTCTTATTGGCATGAAATTGCATATACACATTAGCATTACAATGTCTATAAATGGACACACCTGGATGGACACAGATGGACATTCCATAACAAATTTTGATGTAACAGTGGTGCAAGGTCTAAAATTTGGAGGTTTCGTTTGTTTGTAGGCTCTTTTAGGACACGATTCAGGAAAGATTTTTGCATAAATGCCAGGATAGTCTCATTATAGTTATTCTTATGAAAATGTTCCCCCGGGATTGCCGAGCAACGAACGGGGTAAAATGCCTGTGCTGTCCTGCATGCTCCCAACAGAACCAGTGCAGTTTTGTTACGTTGCCAGAGCACCATAGACCACATGTCGCCGGACCACATTGCTAGATTTAGTCAAAGGTTTACGCTATCAAGGATGCTAATCAAGATATTTCCTATAACAGATTATAATGCATAGCCAGATATTGTGTTTGCCAATTTTGATTTGAATGGCAGTATTGCAACAATCATTGACAAAAAGCAGCATATAAACTCGCTGTGCTGGTCCCAATTTCAAATCTAGTATATTCTGGTACTATCCTGCCGCCCAACCTGTTGTTATAAGGCCTTGTGTAGGACCACCTGCTTGAAAGTGATGCGATGCGCGATCTCAAATTTCAACTACGATCTCGAGCA